GAGAGAGAGTATAGTGGAAACGGAAGGCAGGTCAGGCGCGATCAGGGTCACCGGGACAGGTCCTGATCCGCATGGCTGAGGTAGATGAGGCGGCCGCAGAAGTATTTCAGCAAGTTATGTGGGTTTAAAAAAGAAATAAAATATATTATCATCGTGAAAAGGTTACATGGCCTCGTCCCTTGAGCGGGTTGTGATTGAGGACGCGGCTCAGCCTCAGTCGTGTTGCCAGATACACATATTATAAGCTTATATGGATTTTTTTTAGTTTCACTTAATTTAGGAAGTGAATAAAGTGGGAGATTGCAAGTTATGGACAGCGATATCTTTATATTATTTCCATAACTCAAGATTTTGACTCATTGCGGTTTATTTATTTTTAGATTGTTTTGTTTTGTTTTTCAATATCTGGCAACGCCAGCATAACTGACAGTAATCAAAAATGACCAGGTTAAAAACAGCGCGGGCAGGTTATTCCTGACAGGATGCAATTCGGTAACACAAACGTAGTGATCATCATGATCTATTACCTTTAGACAGATGCACTGAAGACGGACACAAAGAGGAGAGAATAGTCGCGCAAGCAGAGAAAATACTGTAACGTTACCAGACAGCATAGGCGCGGGACGTGCTGCAGCGGCACCCCGTTTTTTCTGTGGGTAACTTTAACTGTTTAACTGTTGGGAATAAAAAAAATAATAATCGGAGTGTCTATTTACACTAAGTGCAAATAGCCCGCCTTGTTGGCAGAGGCTTACACTAATTACCAAAGTGTGATTGGGCTAGTCATCATTACAAAAGACGGTTATCAATCGTCAGATTCAGTAGCGCAGATGGTAAAGTTTGTGTCGTACTCCTTTTGATGCGCTCGACCCGGGTTCAAATCTGCCTTTTGGCAAACTTTTTTTTCTCCCTTTTCAAATTTCAAATAACATCAGAAAAGCATTTATTTTTCATCAAAAAGTTGAAAATAAAGTATCGGGTAGGGTTTGGGTAGGTGTAGGGAGGGCTTTTGTCCCAATAGTGGC